CCAAACTTCTGATGACAGTATAGCTCTTTTTGCTACGCATTGATTACTGCCGTCTGGTTACTTGTCGATATTTCTGGAGAACTGAATCTCAAATTCAAGAAATTATTAAACCCTAGAGTTCGATTAATGTTTAATGTGAGGAAGTTGGAATACATCACGCCGTACCTGATGGGGCTACGTCGATTAAAAATTGAAGACGGGTGCCGTTACAACCTGGGATCTTTTCCGTACTTTTCATTTTAAACAACAGGATCAAAGTATCTTTACGATCTTTTATCATTTCGGTCAGAATATGATAGACATAGTATGACGGCGGGAGCTAGTAATCTGATAATACCAATCAGGCCCAATCGTTAAACGCCCTCACCACGCCCGATGCACAGGTTAAATATTTCAACATCATCACGCAATGTTCGTGTAATATTTTTAGGAATTTTATAAAAATTTTGCACATCTAAAAAGACCATAAAATTGTAATAACTCTATAACTAAATATAATTTTAAGAAACAACAATGTACGCTTCAATTAAAATAGTTGGGTCTGTCAGACCCATGTAACCGCTCGTGTGATTTTTGTGACGTGCCAGAGCCGGGTTAAAAGTCAATCCCACCATTGACATATAAACACTGCCTACAATTAATTTAATCTAGTTTAGTTAATCTTCGTCCTTAGAGTAAGTCTGGAATAGTAGTGGCATTACTGTACTGTGGGAATTGAGAGCTTTCGATATCCTATAGTATTGAATGTATCTTGGTTGGGTGTAATTACGGGGTCCCAGTCCCAGTACGTAATAAAGAAACTCACTTTCTCTCTCTCTCTCTCTCTCTCTCTCTCTCTCTCTCTCTCTCCACTCTGCTTCTGTTCTTCCAACCTTTTTATATTCTGTTCTCGACATTACGATGAAAAAATAATCAAGGAATAGTGCTTTCCTGTGTGCCTGTAGGGCACCGTCAGGTTTCGTAATTGCCTCGACTGATCGACTCGTCAGGAATTCGAAATGCCGCCGAATATTGCCAGGAAGATCATCAATATTTCATGCACTCCTCCCTTCCTCACACTTTTTGCTAAAACCATTTTTCTCATCACGTTTTCTTCTTTATCTCGTTTCTTTCGAATGGATAGCAGTTTCTTTTTTTCGGCACAGTAACCTTGGCACCGCGTTAACCAAATTTTTTTTAACTTTTGATACTGATCTAAAAATTATTTTTTCACTTGCAAATATATGTATATCAATGTCTGCTACTGCTACAACTACCGGGCCACATATTTACGTATATTACCATAATAAATACGCCAGACACTTAATCCATGTAATTATCGTAATTTCTACGCGAAACGGTAAAGTAATGCCTTGAGACGTTTAAGTGGCTGTAACCTATTCTCGTAAGTTTTCGAAACCGGTTATACGGTACGTGAAGGGTAGAAGGATTTGGGGGCTGAAATTCATTCAAAAGCAACGTCTTTACCATCCCCAGTTGTTTCTAAACGCGCATAATAATATATGCCACAATAGGAATGGAATGGGTAAAATGGCGGCAGGACTATGGTTCACCTTTTCTCTCCCGCCCTTACTCATTTTACCCATTCTACCACTCGAGACCATACAATATGCTCTGCTGGGCATTTAACCTGCTGAGCGATAAATTTATTAAATTAAATTATAAATTACTATAAACGGCATATAATAGGCACTTTGCCTTTAATGTATGGCTGGATTATTAGCATAATGTGAGTTTGCCTGGTCGCCTCCTCGTTTTCGGTACATTGCGTGAGAGCGTTGTTACTGACGCAACAAACATTTGTGTAAAAAAGCAATAGATGGACAACGGTATATATATATATATACCTATATATGTATATAATTTTATATACTATGTGTACTCGCGAACTGTACAATGGTGGAAACCAATAATTATGGTTTTCACTCTCACTTTTATGTACTTTTATATTAAAACGTAACGTGGAGTAACGTCCATTAACGTGACCTTCTGGTATATACCATACTACGTTCGTGCTACGTGCTTATGTGCATACACCTGACTATTTCGCTGTTTACGTCCACGTGTCCTTCTTTCGTTAGGGCTAAATCACATCGTAAATTATTCCGGACGTTTTGCAGGGTGCACGGGATTATTGGGGGATTATTAGCGCTCCCTGGAATTGGCTGCCTCTCATGATACCTCCAATCCCGTAAAATATCTCTATGAGTCCCCTAAACGAAATTTTTTCCCCTCTATCGTTGCGAGATAGGGGAGTTGGACGTAGATATAAAGGGCGGGACAAAGGTTGTCGAGTGCGATAGAAAAATTATCACTTTTCATTCGTTGGCCAGAGGCGAGGGTGAAAGAAGAAATGTAATATAAATTGAAAAAAATTTTTATAAAAATTTGATGCCTTCAACTTTTCCTCGTGCCCCGCTGCGACTACCCGATTATTACGATCCTGCATATTTTTCACTCTGCACTTATATCCCACTTTTACCGGGTCACCGAGTGGCCTGAACTTTACTGTAATAGGTAACACCGTATTTATATTATGTATGACGTAATATAGTCAACCATCCTGACCTATATATGGAAATATAAGTTGACGGTTGGAATTAAATATTCAATTAAAATGTGCGACACCCACCTGAGGACAAGTGACCCTTTAATCCAGCGGTCTTGGGCTAGATTGCTCACCGGTCCTGACCGACTGTGCACAACCTGCTAGACCAGCGGTGGAACGCAACATAAATTATGCTGGCTGTTTACCTAATACCGGGATTAGCCGGGGGTCATCGGCTTTAGATGCGCGTTGTTCGCTCAGCCATTAAATTGTCCTGGCTACGTTCTCTATATAATACGTATTATATTTCGCAGCTTGGAAAATTCAATCATGGAATAGACAATAGGACTGTGTGTATACTGACTTATTGTCCCGAGTAGTGTATTTCTCTTTTTTTTCGACTCGGTTTTGCTGCGGTTTGCTGTCTTTTAATAACAATTTCAAAAGTCTGCAATCTGGGTTATCACTGTACGACTCCGATAATTTTGAGTGGCCTACTTATTTTTTAATAGGATTCTCGTTTTTTTTTTTTTTTAATATAGCGCACAGGAAAAATGATGATTTTTAAATTCTGTGCTATGTATTTGCATGAGGTTATTCGGGACTGGTTATTCTACACCAACTGAAATATGACCTGTTTATTTTTTGTAGCAAAATCAACTTCAGTTAATGCAGTGATTTTTAATAACTGTATAGGCATTGTATGACTAAACGTATTTGAGTCACCCAAATGCAAGTCTTAACGGTTATGTTGTACTTATTACTTTTCTTTGGTATTCGTAAAATATTGGCATAAAGCATTGTTCGAAATGCGTTTGCTTTTAATCGGAAATTGAAACAAATGCATGTAGGTACCTAATTCTGGATTACTAACTTCTGGGGACCTAACGTTTCTGCTAGAGTAATTTGTTCCCAATAAATAATCTACAGATTATCTGTTTGTAAAAGAAATAAAAGTAAATAAAAAAAAGGAAATATTATTATTATAGAATTAACTTCTCTTTCGACTTTCGCTTTTCTTAATTATGAGAATTTTCTTTTCAATAGCCAATCGTACTTAACTCCAAAGTTACCCCTCAAATTATTTTATTTGCGAAATTCACGAGTAACACGTTTTTGCGCCGACCGAATTGAGACCCTAGTACAAATACTTGTGTAGAAATGAAATAAAAATAAATGTTTGACTTTCATCAAAGAACACATTTGAATATGTAAATGGCAGTGGCGCCAGCCAAGAAATTGATATGGAAGCGTCGACGTATCCGCACGCGAGTTAAGTGGCTTCTCAAAAAAGAAAATACGAGGGAAGAAGAATGGAGGGTTGAAATAAGAAAATAAAAAAAGGAAGACCAAGAGGAGCAGGATTATAATAAAAAGTAAAATTCAAAGTGATCTTAGCTGAGCGCTACCACCATCCACTTTGTAATTTTATACTGTTACGTATGGATAATTATGAATTCCTAATTTTAACCTTTGAAAATTAAGGTCTTAATTCATATTTCACATTTTAATAGAGTTTCGAGGGCTGACCACTTTCAATTTCGCACACTTATTGGAGACTATGTTAACAACATACGATACGAAGGATTAATTCGTGTTAATCCTGTAATATAATAATTTCGAAAGCTCAAAGATTGAAAACGATTTTCACATAACACTTGTTGACCCTTCGTTTACACGCTGGCGCGAATTCACGCCACCAGTTTTTTACTTTTACGTGTATCTCTACAAAAAGTCAACTAAGTCCGGTCTATCTCTTTAATGAAAACAAATTTTTTCGTAAATGTCATCACTGGTATTTTATTGAATAGTTCAATATTTATAATCCACTGTTAGAAAATAAAAACTGAACAACCATAACCGGAGAATCTGTTGACAATCACTGCTATGAATTTGCACTAGTTTTCTAAGACTTAAATTTCTAAGACCTAAACGAAGGGGTAAAACAAAAGGGTTCATCCATACACAAGTGTCAATGTTCCTATCAGCCACAGGTCAAGGTCCAAATGATGTAGACGAGTCGTGACAATACTCCATCAATTTATTCATTTAATTTACCACTTAAACTCATACGTGCACAGTCTCTCTTTTCCTTCACCAAAATTACACTACTCCTCTCCCGTTTCCCCCCTTGTCCATTCAACCAATGATTTTCATTCTCTTTTGCACACCTCTCTTATTCGCTCTTATCTTTCTTATTCGTTCGTTCGGGTCAATCAATTCTTCGTCCAATCAATATCACGTATAGGACGCAATCACTGAGCCCGGTCGTACTTTGTTGTCACATATGTAATCTCTCATCCTCATTCCTTCTCTCCCTCCACTTTTCTCTTACATCGCCCTATAAAATTTAACACAATATTTAGATACTATAATCGTATTTGGTTTCAGAAGGAGAAATTTGATATTCTAAATACAAATTTTGAAATTTCGAATATCGAAAACGCATTCTACATAATAATGGTATTATTTCGCAATATATTTATAGATTGATATTCTTTACTTCTATTATTGATATTATTCGCACAATATTCTTACAGACAGTACAGGCAATCGGCTGTACAGGGCGCGGACCACAGAGAATCTTTACTCGAGTCAACATTTGTCTTGGGAATCAAGTATCTTATGGACCACTAAATATGAGAAAAAGTTATTGGTACATTCACTATAGGAATTGAGGATTCTGAATCGATTGTCACCAAGATCAGTAATATTAATGTACGAGATCAGGTGGTATTGAGATGGTGAGCGAGATGATTTTCAGTTCCGTTGTGGTAGTCGTCTTCGTCCGTCCATTTACTTTTCTATATAACAGATGGCGCTGATGAAGATACACGGTTGAGTCTTACGCCAAGTACAGGCAACCGGCGATACAGCCAAGGCAACGAAGCAAGTCACGTAACTGAGAGTCATTAATGGCGTTCTGCTCGTGGACGTTGTGCAGTAAGGTAAGAAAGGAGACTAAGCGGTGACTGTTTACATACCTCGACCTGCGGGTGCAACGGAGAGAGCACTACGGTGCAAGCGAAATGCCAAACCTTGCGAGAGCTGCCTAATAACAAACAAATAGTCTTGGAATATTATTAGTACGTTCAAAGTAAGTACTTTGGAATTACTGGCATGGACCCACCAAGTAGTACTCGATAAGGAATCACTTAAAGTTTTATTAATCATTGGATGACCATTAAATCATAATTAAATATGAGAAGCAGTAGTAATATGAAAGAGTAGCGAAGACGATATAGGAAATTTCGAAAATTCAATTAAAATGATGGGCCAGTGCCAGATCATATGATAAGCAGATATATAGGGACTTATGTACATACTTGGCATTAATAATATGATTTCTATACTTTTTGTTAGAGAAATTCACAGCACTCCTGTGCTTGACACAGTTTTTCACACGTAAGTGTTTTTTGGGGCATTTCTATTTCCTGCGGTGCAGCATAACGGCATAGCGGACTTTTGAGCGTTTTTGTTCGAAACTGCTCCCAGTTTACTTGCAGTTTGCGAACTGACAGTTGCGAGAAGGCAGACATGCCGGATACTCGCACGGATTGTGGTTTTCATGAGAATCCTGCAAAACCGCAAATGTCTACCACTTTTTGACAAACAAACTACTTGTGAAACCATTCTACCCTCGGGAGTAATGAAAGTCATCCATTCTTGCTAAGAAACACGTTAGCATTGAAAGTCTATGTAAATCTGTTAGATCTTAGTAATTTTGTCCCCCTTCACTTGCTACTTAAACTTGTGTAATTGGAATAGAACTTTTGCTGCTTAGTCCGTTTGACGCAAGGGCAGAATGATCGCTGTTCATCCCTTTAGTGGCTAGCGAAAGGGTCAGTTTGTTTGCAATTTGAATTATATTTTCGTCTGAGCAAATTCAAGATGAACTGGCTAATAAGTCTTCATGGTTATTGTATACAATTTCTAGAAGTTTCCACGTGGTTACTCCTGTCATATCGTATGGTGAATCAACTATTACTGGGTACTGAATTTGATAACCAATTAGAATGTTGAGTTGATGTTTCTAAGTACAATTTAATAGTATACCAAAGTCGTCTATACTGGCTAGTGGTTAGCTTGCTGTATTGGCACGCGGAGAACTTTCCAAAGGATATCAAATTGGAATTGAAATCTATGTACCAGTAGTTTAATAGCTTAATAGAGTAATCAATAGTTGGTCAATTAGTACGAGTCTCAGATGGTTCTTGGCTGTACTGCACTACCTTAGTAATATCAGTGGCTCTGTAGTAGCACGTGGTAGTGATAAGCAAATAATATTTAAACTGAAAATATAAATAGATGAGATCTAGTTTTCAGGTGGTTCAATTACAATGAAATTAAAATGAATTTCTAAAAATTCACTTTGCGCGTGATTACGCCACTTCGCTGGATTTAGTCGCTTAAAAAATGCAACTTCATTTCGGATTTGCGTATTTGGTGAAAATTTGTTGAAAATCTAAAATAAAGAAATCCATGAATTCACGAGTATATTTTCGGTATACGAGTTCCTGTGATTTAAATAGCATAAAAATATTATTTCAATTGTTCTCCCTTCCTTGAATGTTACTTTCGAAAATTCTATAAAGCTTAGGAAAGTCTCTGGTTTCGTAAAATTTCGTACTTTTCCGAATGTTTCGATAACTTCACTATATTCGACATATCCCGAAAGAGCATAAATCGCTAAAGTTCCTCGGCAGTTCGTAAGTTTCTTTTGTTACGTCACCAAATGTATAGCTCCTTTTATACGAAATTCTTCGATAATAACGAACACTTCGATATCTCGCTAAGGATACAGTTCGTTCCATTTTCTTCGTTACAAAAACGAAAATTGTGGAAAAATATATTATTTTCAGAAATATTCACTTCGCTTCCATTCATCTAAACTATCTAAGCATCTACAGTATAGTTCTTCAAGTACTTAGTTTAGAGTTGCATTGGCATCATACTTTCTTCACTTATTGTTAAGAAACTGTGGGATCTCCGTGGTGCTTCCTCCGGTTGTTTCATTTCCTTGGCTCCAACTTTCTTTTTCCTTTTATCCACTCGTCTCCTACTTTGCTGTTTATCTCTGCTCCTCCTCGGCTTCTTATATTTCGCATAACTGTGGTCAGTTCTTTTTCTTTTCCTTCTTTCTCATTCAAACCATTTATAATTTTTTTTTTTTTCGTTTTCTACCTGCTCTCCTACTATACTCCTCACTGCATTATCCGGCGTCTGCTGGACCGACTGAGATTGAAAATAACATACTTCACTCTCGGATAAGCGCTTTCCTATCTGGCACATTTTCTTTTCTTCTTCTTTTGTCGACATTTGCGACTCGTGAGATTGAACTCTTTCGGGAGCGTTCGGAAGTGTTCGGGACGAGTGCGCGAAACCGTGAAACGAAATCAGGACGACAATAACGCAGGAGACTAGGGAGACTTTCTTAGGAGTAGATTTAATAATAAGTCCTTGGAAAAGTTTTGGTTTGATAATTTTTTTATGCTAGACAAAACTCACCTAGTCATATATGTATGTATATTGTTATGCCTCACGATAGGATTTGTCGTATAGTTAATCTCCAGACGCAAAGTCAGCATTAGACGAATGCAGACCCTATGCATAAGGCGTTAAGATAAAAGCGATGAGAGACACTTTGTGAGCCACAGCGGTCACTCGCAAAGTTCCTAGCTAAGAGTGAAGTCCTGGAGCGTATTCATAGTTGTGAATAATTAGTATCATTGTGCCTACTCCTATTAAATCTTGTGTTACCTTAGTATTTACATTATACCAACTTCAATAAACTATAATAGTTCTCTATATAATTCCAAATTGGTGCAATTATTTATTTGTGATCCTAAAGAACTCATGACAGCATAACAATATATACATATATTTTCTTACCTAACTCTACGAAATTCCTTTTGACAGAATGCTATATCGTATTACACTTTTTGATACGCACTGAAAATTCTTACATCTCAACGTGCTGATATGAAAATCTACCTCTAAATCTGTACTAGTTTGATTTTAATTTCAATCTTGGAAATTTTTATAAAAGTAATAGTTGTTACTAATTGATTATCTAATAAATCATTTAACAAATTTTACTGTATGTTGACGGAACACCTTTTTTCTGTAAAGAAAAACTTTTTTTTACGAATAGCGAAGATTTATCAAAATTTCGAATTGGGCTACCTGGCATACAATTTCCCTTATGTTTCAGATTCGTCCAATAAGAATACAATTATTTTCCAATCTTTTGTTGTTATAATACGAAGCAATAATAAACTGAACTTTCACTCAGCCTATATGTATGTTATTCAATGTGTACGTCAAATTTTCGAGAAATTGTATATTTATTAGCTCCTACGCTATAATTTAACGTATTAACAACATAATATTGTTCCCGTGGTTAAATGTTCCACGCAATACTGCCTATGGTGGCCTCTCGTTTGCATAATGTTTTCACGTTTGCAGCTGGCACGAAATGTAATGCAACATAATATGAGGCTTTATATGCACTGCGAATGCACATTCGATCTGATACTCTCAATGTACTCGTGTTTGAAAACTTTACATACTTAACTTTTTGCCATAACCGTTACTGCACACTAAACTAGGGGATCGATAACACTCTACATACATATTTTCAGTGCGTTGGTGGTGCAAGAGTAAAATAAAAAATGAAATATATAAAAAAATGATATAATTACTTATCTCGCGTTAGAAGCTGCTGCGCGAAAACGTAAGAAAGTCAATCGTCTTTATTATCACGCAAGAATCAACTTTGGCCGACTGAAACAGTACTCATTGTACTTGTAAAGTATGCACTTGTAAGGCGCGTAGTTTGCATAAAGAGGATTCGTAATGTCGAAGGCAATAGTGGCGATAGTAGTACGAGTAAGGTGTGACATGGTAAATAGTCCTTTGTGCGTAATAGAGATAGTCTGGTATACGTAAATATATATATACACATCTTATACGAATATTGGACAGAATTCTCAGGGTAAATAAGTTCTATCAAGAGGGTAGTGTATCTGTGCTGTCAGTTTATGTGTTCATAGGGCTGAGTTTACTCCCCTTCGTCCCTAGCTTCACCCAGCTAGCATCGCCATAACATGCAGTTAGCATATATAATACATATATATATGCATGGGAATATATATTTATATGTTTTTTCCATACATTTTTTCAGGACTAGTGTTACTGAGTCTTAAGTGACAAACCCCATTTTCAGAATCGGCAAACCCTTATTTGGATGCGTACCGCTATATTATACGAGTTTTTCCAAAAGACTATTCCGCGAAGGTGAATGTAATGTTTCGGATATCCATATAAGTGAATGTCCAGTAGAGCTACGAGCAGCCTGTATCTTAATAATGACGATAATGCTGTTTTATTCAGAAGATTACCTTACGTGACGGGAATCTTATTCATTTGATTTAAAAAACCCATCGATAAGTGTCAATGATTATGGAAGTAGCAAAAAAAAAATTGTTATAGATTTTTGAGTTTGAGTATTAAAAAAAAGATATCCTTTAATGACTCAACTTTTTCATATTTGTGACTTTGGCCACTTTCATAATCACCGGCTCACGTAAATCAGTCAGAAAAGCGAAATTCAGTAGTGTCACGTTGCTTTGGGCCACCCTTGTGTGTAAGGGTTGCCTTCCAGGATCTTGTTACGCTTCATCGAAACGCCACGTGATCTTAGCGGTGGATTCAACAGTTTTATCGTGGATGACACTTAAATTTTCCGGTAACGTCGTGAAACGTACTTAGAGCTAAACTGAAGCATGCACTGTCACACATTAAAGCACTACGATTCACGCGCAAGCGTGCGCGTAATCACCACTCTGCCGTTTTTCGTGTCTCGGTCCATGGCAATTTCTTCGAAATGCAGGAGATGACGTGAGTTTTGATTTTTTTGAGACATATCTCATTCCCTTTATTACGCTGCCGGGATTAAAGCGTTTATTACCAGTTCAATTTTGGTTATTTCACGTTTTATGAAATCGCTCCGAAATGGCCTCTGTGCTGCTATCAAAATCACGTGCAGCGTGGGTC